CACACAGCAGATCAGGGGGAGGAATCGGAAACTCCTTCACCCGTTGAATTAAGTGGAAACTTTAGGCTGGGCAGACTGTACAAGCCCTGAGCGAAACCGGTCATGCGGTTCTGAAGAGCCGCCTGTAACTTTTACACGATGACGATAAATCCTACTTTCCACCTAAACATTCTCATGCTGTGTCGTTTTGTGACTGGAACAGCAATTTAAGTGCTGAAACGGCAGGCCCCAGTAACACATTAACACAACACGCTGTAATAACGCTGTTTTGCTGAGCTTCGTGTGTCTTTTGAACTGTTGAACATCTAATTCCAAGTGGTTTGAAATGTTAGGAGCCAATCGTCTGAGAAGTCGTACTGTTTGCGTCGCAGTTCTCCGCTCTCTTTAACGGTGTCCCAGCCCCACGACACAATTCCACACCACATTACAATAAGAAGAAAAGGAAAACCGGTAAAAGATCGCAGTGGACAGTAACCGGACACACAATGATGGTTTACGCGTGGGACTCAGCCGTGTGCGAGGGGCGATTCACTCACCACCAGAGGGATGGAACAAACCAGGAACACGACGGTCATGAAAACGAGCAGCCAGAACATCTGGATTTCGGCAGCCGAGGTGACGGAGGGCAGTCCGGGAAACCGGCGCCTGGCTGCCTCCTTCCCCGGGCCCTCCGCCCTCACCAGCCGCGCTCGCTGGCTCATCCGCACCAGGGAGCCGCAGACGGCGACGTTACACGCCACGGTCACCGCTATCAGGAGCAGCATGAAGCCCCCGTACACGAAGGAGTAAGAGGCGGCGAGGAGATCGCTGGCCCGCCAGTCCAGAAAGCACCAGGTGCCTGGGAAATGCCTAACGTGCTTCCCGAATCCGAAGCTCGGCAGGACGCACAGCACGACGTTGGCCAGGTAGATGGTCACCAGCGCCAGCCTGGCCACCGTCCTGTCCACGTAGTGCGAGTAGAAGTAAGCTTGGTTTATCGCCAGGTAGCGCTCCACGGACATGGCACAGAGTATGGACATCCCGGCGGAGCCGAAGAAAAGCATGGAAAACGAGAAGAAGTGGCACAGAAGTTCTCCGCCGTGCCACCTGTTCGTGACATAGGTGGCGATGACCACCGGGCTGGTGCAGCAGGTGCCCAGGAGGTCCGTGACGGCCATCCCGCAGACCAGGGTGTAGAAGGTGGTCTCCTTCTGCTCCTTCTTGGAGGTGCAGAGGACCACGATGGCGACGAGGTTCCCCAGAACGCCCACCGCGAACATGGACGCGGAGGTGATCACCGCCCTGGACTCCAGGCGCAGCGGGAGGGCGGAGGAGAGGTTAGAGGCAGCCGGAAAAACCGAGTCCCACTGCGTGGCGTTCATGGCGTGTGCCTTCGATGCGGGAACCATCCCCGGGAGACGCAGTTTAAAAGGCGGAGGAGCTAATCGCCTTTAAAGGCTGCGTCCCGTATTCGGACACTCGCATCTTATTACGACAGCGCACGGACAACGGATCGATACTTTTGATCATCCCGTTTCCTCCCCCCGTTCAGAACAGCTGGAAAGACGGTGTAAAACAAAACCTCCTCTTTTTTTTTTGTTGCTGTTCAAGACGCTGCCAGTGTCGACCAAAGTTTCCAACACCAATGCTTGTGGGTTTTTTTTCCCCCTCCCTGCTCGTGTTAGATCTTCACAGATCCCCGACCTGCAATATTATACCGGCGTGCATGCAGTGGAGATGCTAGGATGTTGTCCTGCAGAAGTATCGTCACATTCTGGGTTTTCCTCTACCAACCCATCGGATGAGATCGGCGCTCTGTCCGTTCGCACACTTGGTGTTCGGCGTCTTGAACTACATGAGCGGCTTTTAAAGTCTTTTTCCGCCGCTTGTGCTGATGTCACCCTGGTGCCGCCTGACGCCACACACCTCCCAACCCGAAACGCTTGAGTAGTTCCTACGGTCGGAGAGTTGTGTGATACGAAGTAAGCTATTAGCTTGCGAGGTTGTTGTTATTGTTATTGATGTTCGATATATCATATTGGAAAATAACACGTATCGTTCATTTACTTCCTTTTACTCCACAGACAACTAACTTCACAAGATTTTATGCCATTTTGTTCTGCCAGTAATGCTTAGAGACTACTGAGCTCCTCCACGAATCACAACGTGTATAGTGTGCAGCATCGCAGGTCCTGCGTGAGTCAGGTCTGAGCTACACCGGTATGTGTGATTTTGTGAAAGTGTTCCGGTGCGTATTTGCCGTTTTAGACTAGGTGTTGATTCCAGCAAGGGAGATCTGTTACTCCGTTGGAAGGGTGAAACAGTGAAGGTTGCTTTAAAGGCACAGTCACATCACCTTTTGTCGATCTACAAAGCTGCAGGCATGTAGGTTTGGCAAAATCATACTTCACATTTCTTATGATGAACGTGTAAAGAACGTAGATGACTATCCCCCACCTGAACATTGGCTGCAGCCGTGTGAAAGAAAAAGCTTGAAGAGAGAAGATTGCAGACCACCTCATCCTAGTCTTCAAACTCCTCAAAGGCGTCCACAAACTCAACCCAGCAAACATCTTCAGAATTTGTTTATGACACACGGACCAGAGGACAGAAGTGGGAACTAAAGTGGAGCAGGAGGCACTTCTTTACACAAAGAGTTGTGGGAGTACGATCTACTGCCCAGCCATGATGTTGAAACAGCTGGAGGAGATCCTCTGTTTGATTAGCTGGTTAAAAGGGGGTAGACAGCTGAAGTGAATGAGCTTCAGCAAAATGACAAGGCTGCTTGTTCCCCACCCCCACAACCCTTTGTGTAAAAAGTGCCTCTTGTGAGATTTTTTAATTACACTTCCAATTGCCTGCTTGAGGTGTTTATAGTAACACCTGGTGAAGCACATCCAAGTCTTTTCTAACGAAGGGGAAGAATAGCTTTCAAACAGTCCTTTGCTTGAGAATCTCCCAGTCTTCTTTACTGAACTTGTGTTTTAGAAACATTGCCCTGAATGTACATTTCACATGGTTATGGCTACAGTGTGTGTTAAACAATGATCATGCTATTGGCCAAGCTTTAGATCGGAGTCAATCTTATATAGATTTGTACAATGCAGGGTTTTTAATGTTTAAGGTCCATGAAAAACTAATATTGCTATATATTTTCTATCATGGAACAGGTAATAGGTTTATTCCATGCTGAAAAAAAAGAAGAAAGAAAACACAATGTTTAATCCGTGGAGCCTTCTTCAGGTGTTCCACGGCCGAAACGTTGTGTTTTCTTTCTTCTTTTTTTTCCAGCATGGAATAAACCTATTACTTGTTCCTTTGCAGCCTACGCCTGCTGACGCAGCTCCCCACCTGAACTATTTTGTATCATACTTACCCTACACATGCCTTAAACACAAGTTATTGCACATATAAATATCTGTAGTAACCTGACCAAAAGCGTGCATTTAGCATGAGGTTCCTGCCAATCTGTTTTCCAGTGGGAAAAGCGCTTCATTTGTCAGACTCCTTTGATTTTTCCCATCATCAAATCCTTTTTAGAGTGGATTACAAGAAACAGTGTAGCTCAGGCTGCGAGGGAGGCATGCAGACATAACTGGCAGTGGTTACTGTCGGAAGGCTCGTACTTGTTTTGGCTGTTTGCAGACCATAATAAGGGCTACAAATGAGAAAAACCATTTGCCCCAGGTAGTTTAATTACTAGTTTTTAGCTAATTGAATTGGGTTTCATCCAGATATTTTTGTGAAAGAAGCCAGGGTATCTCCTTCAATAACATGGATGGGTGGCTTGTTCTGGACTTCCATAGTCCTTTATGTCCTTTATGAGCCTTCAATTCCCCAGTTTAAATGCACTTTTAACCAGTCTTTTAACCACCTAATGCTACAGTATATGTTTAAACATTTGGAACAAACATGGACAATTCAATACACTTATTTCCTAGATGCACAGGATTTACTAATTACTAGTTGCCCTGTTAAAAGTAGTTAGCCCTACTAAATACCTGTTGCCTAACTGTTTACCACTACTTCTTCAAAATATTACAGTGCTAACATGTGGAATGTCTGCCTGGTGCTCCATCCATATTTATGTTCTGTTGTGAATTGGGATCGGTTCTTCCCAGTATTTTGAGATCTGGAGTACTGCAAGTTCATTTTGGCAAGTTCCTCTACTATGCTTAAAGACTTGAGAGAAACTGTTTGTGTCAACAAATTCATCACTTTATTCACATCGCCACGTTGCCCTGATCGCTTTACGTAATTGTAAATTCCCCTGTCAGCACACGTTACAAACCTCCATCAGTTTATTTCACGGCGTTGGCAGGCCCAGGATTTCTGCTGCCAAGAGCAGCACCTTTAGGGAAATGGTTATGGAGAAGAAATGATCCTACGGTATAAATACTCTCCCTCATTTCTGCGGAAGAATAGCCATCTTTTATCTGCTCCAGCTGTGGTGTCAATGCCACAATGTCAGAGACCTTCTTGGCTTTGGTTTCTGTCTGAGAGCACAATCCGTTGATTTTGAGGAACGCTGGTTCT